TTCCTCATCACTTTGACTCAGTCACCTTGTACCAGACTGTTCCAGTTGGAGTCAGTCTATGAGCCGAATGCGCACTTTGTGTCTCATCATACATGGCAACTCTGTTGCTCCAAGATGCCAAAATGCCCTGAAGGCAGGCGAGAATTAATGATCAGTTGCTTTAAGGCCTTCCTTGCAAACCTTGTAGCATAGCCTGCCTCTGATTCCTGTGACATCGTGGGTAAACCGTGTGATTGATCCATGCCTCCGTTTCCCTCAGCTGCTTACTGAGGATTAAATTTTTCTAAGGCACAAAGGCGTTTGAATGCTGAAATAATTGGTGTGGATCAAGTGCCCTCAGCTAGAAGATGCCATAGAAATATTTCCAGATTATGTACTGCGCACACACATATAAGTACCTCTGTACATTTGTCACACCTAGAGAACAAGGTAATCTGTACAGCCCAGCGTCTATTAAGACTACTGTACTGGTCTACCAGGATAGTTTATATAATCCTAAATTACTTCTGTGACCCCTGAAATCCTTCTGTGAGGAGTTTGCTTTTGGATGTGTAGCTCTGGTTAACCGCCAGCCATTGACTGGGAGGCATGGCCAATATATCAAGCGATGCCCAATACTCGATGGTCATAAAGCCTTGCTCTCCAGCCTGTATAAAGGGTTATTAAAGTTTAATGTGGGCCTGTTGTCACCTTTTAGACCTTTACAGACCTTACACTGCCTCCTTGCCTTTCTTGTCTTGTTTTGACTAAAAAGGCCAGAGGGTATTTCTGAGTTATGGGCCTGTCTCTTCACCTGAGGTTAAAGTGGTTCCTGATGACAGACGAAGAGTTAAACAAACACATTTGGAACCTGAGCTGCCGGGGTGGAGCACTCAGCTTTGTCGAATTATTCCCAGAAAAGCCCGAAGTGAAAGGCATCTTCATTGCACTACAGTGAAAGACACAAAGAGCCAGATGCTGCACTCAGTTATCCAGACAGTCCTACACCCTGCTGAAAGCCTCAAAACTGGACGGGTACAACGGTGGACAGGAAACAGCCCAGAATGTCTCCGTTTCAATCTCCCAGGATGTATTTTCACTCAACTACCCAACGGCCCATTTCAGCCTTCCTTGCAGCCCAGTGAAAAGTTTTGGAAGGCATCGCAATCATCGTTTCCTTTAATCTTTTCCGTCCACGTGCGGAATAAATTTGTATGTGCACTGAAGCATGTGCGATGTCAGAGTGATCCCGTTCACAGGACAGTTTGGGGCAGCCCCTCGTGTCCCTGTGCTTTGGGAATGGCCTGAAGGATTATCCGGGGGGCTGGCACCAGCAGCATGGAGCAGGCCTGCCCCTGCACTCCCCAGCAGCAGCAGGAGCCATAGGAAGTGAATTGACTCAGCTCCACCATCTCCCAACTGGGTCTCTCTGCTTCAGCAGCAGGCAGGGGGAGCAGAACATCCAGGCCTCGTTGCTTCACTGCAGCAGTAGGAAGTGGAATGTTCTGGCCCCCGTCTACCACAAGCAGCATCTGTGGGAGCGGCCTGGGGCCACATCACTCCACTACCCACCACCACCGGCTGGGGCAGGATCACTCCGCTTCCCACTGCCGTGGTGAGTGCAGGTTTGGCCTGGTCCATGCTGCCAGTATAGTGGCACCAGGCCCTCCACTTGTCCCACAGATCACGTTGCTCTGGGGAAGGAGTTTGGGGGAAGTGGTGCAATAGGAGTGGTAGGGGGCAAAGCAGGAGTGGGGGGGGTTGTCCCTAGCACTGCATCCTCCTAAGGGTGGTGCTGGTGAATGTGCACTACTAGAAGAAACAAAAAACCTGGTTGGGGGCCCTCTACTAATGAGCTGGGCAGCACTTGCATCTCTCCTGAGCGGCTGCACACGTGCCGCTTGGAATGATGTATTATCCTCCGAGAACATAGTTGTGACTGGGTGCCTGGAGGGACAAAGTGCAATGAACAGGGCAGAATGATCCCTACAACTGGAAGTTGATTCTGATACCTAGATTCAGCAAATGAGTAACCAACGATTTGTACTACCACGCTGTCAAACCAATATCCTGTCAAACCAATCGGATAGCTTCCTTTTACAGGCTATCAAGCCTTGTGGATAAGGGAAAAGCATTTTGCACGGTCTTGCATGACCTTCTTATCAAGAAATTAGGGAAATACAACCTAGATGGAGCTACAATAAGGTGGGTGCATAACTGGCTGGATAACCGTTCTCAGAGAGTAGTTATTAACCGTTCACAATCATGCTGGAAAGGTATAACAAGTGGGGTTCCTCAGGGGTCTGTTTTGGGACCGGTTCTGTTCAATATCTTCATCAATGATTTAGATGATGGCATAGACAGTACATTTATTAAGTTTGCAGATGATACAAAGCTGTGAGGGGTTACGAGTCTTTGGAGGATAGAGTCAAAATTCAAAATGATCTGGACAAACTAGAGGAATGGTCTGAAGTAAATAGGATGAAGTTTAAGAAGGACCAATGCAAAGTGCTCCACTTAGGAAGGAACAATCAATTTCACAAACACAGAATGGGAAGTGATTGTCTAGGAAGTAGGGATGTTAAAATTAGATTAATCAACTAATTGAATAGTTGATGGAATTTCCATCGACTATTTGATTAGTCGATAAGGGCGGTTCCGCTTTGAAATGTAGCAAGAGCCCGCCCAGCTGTTGTTACAGTTCAAAGGTGGAAGTGCCACGTGGCTGCCTTTGAAATGTACAAAAGTCCCAGCAGAGGTTCTTGTGCATTTCACAGATTGAAATGCCGCGTGGAGCCTGGGGTCAGCGGGCTCCGTGCCGCACTTCCACTTTGAAAGGTACAAGAGCCCCAGTGGGGACTCTCGTACATTTCAAAGATGGAACTCCGGGGCTGGAGCTGCAGGGAACCAGCCTCCTGATGGCCATTCCAGGAATTAGCTCAGTCCAGCCTCAGCGTGTCCTCCCCTGTTGGCCCCTATCTCACCCTTACTTACCTGTCCCTCCAGGCCCACGGTATTCCTTTCCTCACAGTACTGCCCAATAGATAGCAGTGCCCCCACACTCTGGAACCCCAACCCCCTATACCCACCTTCCTTAAGTGACCACTGCCATTTGTCATCTAGCCCCTTCCTCGGAGCAGACTACAGTTGGAAATGGCCACTTACCATTGGCAAGGGGGTGTGTGGACCTACTGCCTTTTCCCGCCCTGGCTGCCTCCCTGCAGCCCTAGCAGCCATCAGGCCCCTTTCTCAAGGCTTCAGCCTGGGAGTTAGGTCAGGCCAGAGTTCCCCAGCTCTGCCGGCCCTTTATCAGCTCTGCTCTGTCTCGGGGACCCTCTCCAGCTTCCCAGGCAGCGGGGTCCTTCCTGCTCCAGAGTCAGAGCAAGAGTGCATGTCTGAGCTTAGCCACCCCTATTCCTACTGCCCTAGCTGGGCCCCGGTACTAGTAGTAATTGTCTTCAAGTAAGAAACTAAGAAATCTTTTGTGAGAAGGATGAATTGCTACATGGAAGTCAAGAGCTGCAAACCAGTCCCCAGACTTCAGGGAAAGGAATTAGGTTGCTAGGTATACTCAGGGATGAAAGTCATTTAAAAACCTTACTGGTATGGCCTTGGGTGCAAGGGGCAGGGCTGCATACCAGCCTGCCCTAGCAAGCCTTTCCGTGCTGCACGGTGCTCACCATCTGAGGATTTGCTCACCATCTTAGTGATTGAAGGGCATGGGACTCTGGCCATGCTAGAGCTCTTCATTTTGTCCCACCTCCCGTTGGCAGTCCTGGGATGGGACAAAAGTGGCAGTGACATTACCGTGCTGCTGCTGTTGCACTTTAACATTGACTGAGTACAGGCTCATACCAGTGGACTTCTTGTAAGCTCACTTTCACCTCTGGGCATATCACAAAATTTCAGATGTCTGACATGTTTACTCAGTTGTCTGTGACCTAGTATTGGCCTCCTGCTCCCATCCTGTTTTACTTACGTATCAGAAAATACCTTGAATACCCTTTTTTCCCCTGTATTGAAATGGAATTGGTTCTATGGCCCCTAGAGTTAGGAGCAATGTGATCTTCTGTCTCAGAAATTGATTATAAGGAATATATGTGGAAGTGGAAAGGGAGAGAGGAATGAAGGAAAAATTGGATTTTTTAACCAGATGTAAAGGCCTTCAATACCTGTGTGTCCAACGTTAGGGTATGTCTAGACTACATCCCTTTTTCGATAAAGGGATGTAAATTAGACATATCGAAAGTGCAAATGAAGCCACTGGAAGAGCCCCCCAACCTCTCTACATTCTGCACCCCCCTTATCCTTCCTTCATCCCAAGGGTGCCAGGGTTGGCGGCTGTGCAAATGAAGCCGGGATTTGAATTTCCTGCACTTCATTTGCATAATGGCCGCCACTTTTTTTCAAAACGGGGCTTTTTCGGAAAAAAAAACAAAAACGGCTGTTTAGACGGGGATCTTTCAAAAAGAAAACCTTTTCTTGAAATATCCTGTACTCCTCAAAAAATTGGGTTTACAGGATCTTTTGGAAAAGGGTTTTATTTTTGAAAGATCCCCATCTAAACTGCTGATTTGGGGGAGTTCAAAAAAGTCCCATTTCGAAAAAATGCGGTGGTCGCCATTATGCAAATGAAGTGCGGGAAATTCAAATCCCGGCTTCATTTGCAGTTTCGATATGTCTAATTTACTTCCCTTTATCAAAAAAGGCATGTAGTCTAGACATACCCTTATAGTCTTCCATATGTGTTGGAATATAAAGGCAGTGTCTAAATTGAGCAAATAGGGTGATATAGTGCACCCAAGCAATCCTGATTATCAAGCAGTTTAGACTTTCAACCAAACCATCAAAACCAACAGATGTCGGTGGCTGGGATGAAGCAGCTGAAGTAGTCACTGGCTTCTCTGTAGAAAATCTTGACCTCTTAGCTGGTGGTTCAGATGGCCTATGGAAGGTGGAAAACTGAGCAGGATGGAATCTGTCCATCAATTAACACCTGCTGCATTTTCTTTTATTTGCAGGGTGCCCTTACCCCAAGCTAAGTTTAATCGCAGAGTCTGGAAGGGTATGAAGAGAGTCATCTCTGGAGTTCTCAAGAACCTATGACCATTAAATGGTGAGTCCTCAACAGTCCATTGTACCTTCCATGGGAAACCAGCCAACGGAAGCCATGAAGCTTGTCACTACTGGAGTGGAAACAGACCAGGCTATAATGTCAGCTGCATGAACTTGAATCTTGCAAAGACATATTTGCCAAGAGCCTGTCTGTCCTTTATTCTGATGCTTAAACTGAGCGTGATGTTCCTGTAGTAGCTAGTCAATAAAAGCATCAAACGTCTCATAGTTCAGATAGTGATATTTGGCATCAGTGCTTGGTGATTTGCTACCCTGAACTGTGATAGCACCATAGAATATTTTTTATGACCCAAAAGTCCAGATGCTTCCAAGTCCTTGTTATACAGGTGGCTTTTTTAACATGTTTGTCTCCCTGTAACGGGGTCAACTCACCAGCATGGCACCTTCAGCTGGTTGCCTTGGGGAATTAGCTTGTTGTTGTTGGGCGCCTTCCATCAGCTGGCATCTCCCCATTCTGTTCTTTCACCACAGCATCCTCTTCAGGACACTGCCCTCTGGCAATGCCCACTCCAGTCTCTTTATGACCCCTTCCAGGGGGGATTGTTTAATCCATTGCACACTCCAGGGTCCTCCCTACTCCCCGGGACCCCCAGTTCTTTCTCCCCAGGAAACACCCAGTTCCCCTGCACCCACCTTGCCTCAGTGACCCACTGCCAGTCTTCATAGCCCCTGTCTCCGGGCAAACTGCTGTCTGTAGTGGCCACCCATCACTGGCAAAGGGGGAGGGGTGGACCTGCTGCCCTTTGCCTAACGTGGCTGCCTCTTGCAGCCCTAGTAGCTTTAGGCCTTGCAGCCTGGGGGCTTACTGGGCCAGAGCCTCCCCAGCCCTGCCTTCCTTCCCCCAGCACTGCTCTACTTCCAGGAAGCCTCCCGCTTCCCGGGCAGTCAGGTCCCTACTGCTCTCCCCAAAGCTGCAGTCAGTTCTCCCTTCCTCCAGGAGTTCCTCTTTACATAGCCTGCAGAGGGGCCCTCATTAACAGAGCTGCCTCGTTCTGTTTTGCCCTTAAAGGGCCAGTGCAGGGCAAATGCCCTGTCACACTCCCCCTTTCATAAACTGTATCTGTAACCACAGAATTTGGTGCTGAATCTGAAAACAAAAACTTGGAATCCCTGGCTGGGGCACAGTGGTTTTTTAATCACCCCATTGCCCCCTGTGGGAGGCTAGGGCCATTGTTGGAGTTATCAGATGGTTTTGGCTGGCTCAAGAACAGATTTATTAATTGGCAGTGCCACGCGTGCTTACGTAGAACATCATGAGTCCAGGAGCTCATGATGGGAATCCCGAACCGCTTCTATGACTTACTTCATCAGGACCTGGAAATGCTGAAAGTCATTAGGTAATGATAGTAATAGTGACATAGTTGTCAAGGGGGTGACCTCCTTGTCTACCATAGCTTCCTGCACCTCAGTGTCTCCTCTGCAGAATTACAGTGAAAGGAAGGGATGAATGGTAGTTAGGAACAAGGTCTTCTACATCGCTTACAGGACTGAATTGGGGCCCCTCAAATCTGCTGGTGGTACATTGTCATGGGTCTCAATGAAGACCATAAGACATGGAGGGGGCCACTATTGGTCTCCCCAAGTATTTACAGGCAGAAATCTGTATCCTGTGTTCCTTACATCTGCAGAAGGGGTTAATGTCTCCAGGAGCAAACTGGCGACTCTTCAAGTGAGAACTCTCAGTCTGAGTCGGAATGCTCCTCAACGTATTGTACAGGAGATGACAAACTCTTCTTTTTGAGCAGCAGACGTCATAGAAGTGATGGGTCTCACTACAGCATGTGCAGCCAGTGATTCAACTGATTTCAGTACCAAGATGTGTGTGAAAGTCCCAAGGAGGTGAGAATCAGGCTCATTTGGTACCATGAGGTATTTACGGTACCAGAATTTTAGCAGTACTGGGCACACAACAGAGCTCGGTAAGGACATCGAGGTTCTTTCTGATGCTGCTATCCAAGGCATCGCTGGTGGTGCCAACCTCTATTTAAGGAAATATATCGGACAATGTTCCACATATCGTGTCTTAGAGTTTCCAGTCCAGAAACTATTCCTTTAGTATGGCTATACATATAACAGATATTTAAGATTCGATTGCATCTGTTGAACCTTTCATAGAATATTACATATCTGAGCAGCCCAGAGAAATGTCAATAATTCCAGATGTAGAGTATCATTTTGTCTGGATGGCAGAATGTTTCATATTGTTTTCTAAAGAGAAATACCTATTAGAAGTGGTGCATTTCATTAAGTTACACTTTGGGTTACAGCCCAGGAATAGTTACACTTGGCAGTTTAGACGCCTGGTTGATGTATTCCACGGTTCATAAATCCTTGACTCTAATTTGTAGATGTGTGTTATAGTTTTCGGGTCATGGCTAAGAGGTAAATTGTATCTCACCTCCAGCTTGGCAGAAGGGCTCCATGTCAATGAAAACAGTGCAGATCCATTCGGTAGGATTTAGGGAAATCATATATGGCTCTTCCAGCCCTCCCCAGTGCTCAGATACATTCCCCACAGAAGAAGGATGGCTTCTAAGTCTGGAGTAGGCTGCAGGGCAGTAATATTAGCATAGACTATGGGAGTGGAGTGGAACATTCCTCCTTCACTGTGCCCTCCTGGAGTTCTCACACCCACCCCAACTACTCAAGATGGACTTGAGTGAGCAGACTTGCTAATGATTTCACAATCCCTAATGATGAAATATCATTTTATGTTCCTTCAACAAGCTTTATTAAGTTTGAATTCTCTGACCTGCTACTGGAGTCCCCAGAGCTATAGGCCTGTGAATCTCAACTGATACATTTGTCAATCATGTCCCCTTTCCAAGACGTCACCTCAATATCTGGCAGGCTGACTGCATGGTTTACTACAGTGTTGGGCAACCGAGACTAGCGAGTGGGCTGCATGAGTGACCCTCCCTCATCGCAGTGGGCCACAAGATTGAAATCAGTACTGTGCGCTAAATATGAACCCAAGAATAAAATTAAATACATTAATACAGAGCATGCTGCATACTTCAAAACAACTTAAAAAACAGCAATGGTCCTGTAGCACCTTAGAGACAAACAAAAATATTTATAGTATCATGAGCTTTCATAGGCACAACCCACTAGTCACTACTGGGTTGGTGCTGGATCTGAAAAAAAAAACTAATGGGTTGTGTCCATGAAAGCTCGATACTATTTATACATTTTTGTTAATCTCTAAGGGTATGTCTAGACTGCATCCCTCTGTCGGCAGAGGGATGCAGATTAGGAAAGTTGACATTGTAAATGAGGCAGGGATTTAAATATCCCACGCCTAATTTGCATAAAAATGGCCACTGCGTTTTGCCGACTCAGCACTTTGTCGGCAAAAAGCGGCAGTCTAGAGGGGGACCTGTCGAGAAAGAAAGCCTTTTTCGACAGATCCCTTATGCTTCCTGCAAGGAGGTTTACAGGATCTGTCGAAAAAGGCTTTCTTTCTTGACAGATCCCCCTCTAGACTGCCGCTTGTTGCTGACAAACTGCTGAGTCGGCAAAACGCGGTGGCCATTTTACGCAAATTAGGCACAGGATATTTAAATCCCTGCCTCATTTGCAATGTCGACCTGCCTAATCTGCATCCTTTTTGTGGAAAAGCGTCCGTGGCCAATCTAGACGCGCTTTTCCGCAAAAAAGCCCCGATCGCCATTTTCGCCATCGGGGCTTTTTTGCGGAAAACAAATCTCTGCTGTCTACACTGGCCCTTTTGCGCAAAAGTTTTTCGGAAAAAGACTTTTGCCCGAACGGGAGCAGCATAGTATTTCCACAAAAGCACTGACAATCTTACATGAGATTGTCAGTGCTTTTGCGGAAATTCAAGCGGCCAGTGTAGACAGCTGGCAAGTCTAGACACAGCCTACGTGTAGACATAGATGCTGCCCATTGGGGTTCCATGTGCGGCCCATGCACCCCCTCTCTGCTTTCTTCCCCAATGCCTCTCGGACACTAAGGCTACATCTAGACTACATCCCTTTTTCTCCCCCGCTTAATTAGCATAAAAATGGCTGACGCTTTTTTTCCGCACGGAGCTTTGTCATAGAGGGATAAGGGATCTTTCGGAAAAGGCTTTATTTTCTGCAAGATTAGCATCTAGACTGGCGCTTTTTTCCTACAAAGCTCCGTGCGGAAAAAAAGCGGCAGCCATTTTTATGCTAATTAAGCGGGGGAGAAAAAGGGATGTAGTCTAGATGTAGCCTTAGTGTCCGAGAGGCATTGGGGAAGAAAGCAGAGAGGGGGTGCATGGGCCGCACATGGAACCCCAATGGGCAGCATACAGCCCACGGACCACAGATTGCCCACTACTGGTTTACAACGTAACTACCAAACATCTCTTTTTCTTTGCTATGTCAGGAGCTAAGGAAAGGTTTGCCTGCGACTCCCACTAGCTGGCAGGAGGTTGGCATATACAACAGTTACCTTGCAAGCATCTTTAAAGATATGCAATGCTATTTAAGTGTAACAAAGGTGTTAGTGACTCTATAACAACGCTCTCTAGAGAAATGGTTTGCATCATTAGTTGAGAGCTGTAAAGGAGCTCTTTGATAGCTCAGTCAGAGCACTGCTCACAAAGGTATGCATAAGCTTCGATCTAACGCCTACTTTTCTAAGAACTGTGGGAAAGATTATCTGCTGGATTACGAGTGTTATTTTACTTAAGTATTTTAGAGTGTTAAAATCATTTGCTATAACAGAAACAACAGTGCAAATAAAACACCGCTAAAAATAATGATGTAGTTCAAGTTTATTCTTTAAAAATACTACAATAAAACTAATTGCTGTGTCCACAACTATTCCACAAATTAATAAGTAAAGCGATGTCTGGAGTCTCACTGGTTCCTTTCCTTTGCTTCCAGTGCTACTAAATTGTTATTGACCAGGTACAGTTATATTTCTTCATTCTTATTCACAGGCTTTTCTATGGTTCACCTCAATGTAGCCTTCTGCTATCTGACTGAGGTAAGTGCCTAAAGTTAGCATTGACTAATATGCTAGCCAGCATATAAATATTATATTAATAATATGCATGATCCATACCATATATGTATATGCATAAATTCGAATACATTGAGCACCAATAACATAAGCACAAATATTGTGAAATAACCTAAACTGGTCATGCCAGTTCTGCTTACTTATGCGAAGTATTCCATGATATCTTCATTAGAACATCTTCATAGAAGATATGGTAGTAAGAGACCTCAGCAGGTCATCTAGTCCATCCTCCACATTGAAGCAGGACCAACCCCGACTAAATCATGAGGGTGATAACCATTGGCACAAACTCCCAAGGACAGTGGTGGATTCTCCATTTCTTGAGGGCTTCCCCTCCCTCGCTGGAGTCAGAATTTGGCACAAGCAGACAGGAAAGTTGTTAAAATTCAAATACTTTCATTCTATGTCTGACTTAGAACAATTTAGGGAAGTGCTTTCACGGACCAGTATCTGGAATGTGATAAAAATAAGGAAGGAGTAAAGCAACAAATTAGGGAACCAGAACAAACAGTTTGGTTGGATTTTAGTGGCAAAAGTGTCGCTTATAACATTATGTAAATAATGCGAGCTGTAATTTGTGAAACTTGGGGAGCACACCTTGTGCATAAGGTGACTGTAGCACTGAGGCACAAGAATGTTCTTTGGAGACTGGCGTCATACAAAACTTTTCTCCTACATAAATAAATTAATAAAGATTAATAAATCTTACTGACATTGGTTATTTGGTCTTGACCAAATCTGGAAGGACTTTGAAGTGTAAGACTATGCCTACACTGGGAAGATTTGGTGACAAAAGTGCTCTCAACGTGCAAAAGTTGCCAAACGTGAAAACTGGTCAAACCAGTTTTTCTGCCTTCCATTGTCAATATTTCATGGCCACATTGCTAGCACTCCATCAACAGACAGAGCAAACCAATGTGGCTAAGCAGCCCACAATGCAGTGTTGTAGGAAGGCAGAGCTGATCTCTGCTCTTCTTGGGATTCTCTCCAATTTCTCCCACTGCCTTCTCAGCATCACTCTGTGAGCTCTCCTTGCTGAGTAATGTCAAAGCAGCACAGCCATCTCTCCAGCCCTCACCCTGCAGCAGCAGCCTGCCTGCCGCTGTGTTCCTAGCAGGGCAGAACAGGAGCATTCTAAACATTTGTTCTTTGTCACCCAAAAGGAGCAGCTCGCTCACCTGTCAGATACTTCCCAGAGCTTTGAAAGGGGAGGGGCACATGCCTGCAAGACAGAAGAGATCACAAAACACTGAGCAGAGCCATCAGGGCAGGCATTGTGGGATATTGGCGGAAGCCTGTTCTCTCAACAAAACAAACAGGCTGTGTCTAGACTGAAAGCTTCTTTCAGAAGAAGCTCCTCCAGAAGAAATCTCCTGGGAAAGCTTATTTCGAAAGAGAGTGTCCACGCAGCAAAAGAACAAGGAAAAAGCGATGTGCTTTTTCAAAAGATAGCGTCCACATTGATTGGATGCTATCTCACATTTAAGTTGTGATTAGTATGGATGGAATGGCCACCAGGGCCACATGTGTAATTTCATAGAGGCCTCTTCTTTCGAAAGAACTCCCTCTTCTGCATCCACACATGCCTTTTTCTGAAAAAGGAGGTTTATCGCTGTCGGAAAAAACCCTCCCTTCTTTCAACTTTCTCTCAAAAGAACGCAATAGCAGTGTGGACGTAAGTATAGTTTTTCCAGAAAAATGGCCGTTTTTCCGGAAAATGCTGCAGTGTAGACGCACCCACAGAGTCCACACTCTCTCTTTGTCAACGATAAAGACAAAAGTCTCTTACAGGGCTAGAAGTCTTTTGTTGCCAAAACT